CGAAAGAGACAGTCAGATTTCATAACTATTCTGCATAAGCCAGAGCCTACTTCCATTAATTATCTAAAAAATAGCACTTTGTTTCATGACCAGGCCCCCAGACTGATTTAAAACTTGAGAAGTAAATTACTACTCAATAATCCAGTTCTATAAAAGTAAATGCAGAACGTTGTTACACTGGTTCATTATGTTGAAAGCATAGTGCATTATAATTTTTTATGGAATGTGAGTGTAACATATTCTAAATGCCTTCTTTAACACTTTGGGAGACAATTGGATCTGTGGTCTCACCAAGTGAGGGATACCCACTGTCCCCAGAATTTTGTTAGTAGCTAAATGTAAATTTTTAAGATTTCATTAATAGCAGGTCCTTTAGCTATGCCAGTTACACAGTTTGAATGAGCTCCCAGATTTCAGAGAGGTGAGGAGGAGAAAACCTTCCCCAGGTCACTAACCCATTTTTTGTCCTTTCATGTTAATTGGCTGTTCATTCCCAGGAACACAGATTGCACTGCTTCTCCTTTACCTCATCCAATGTCAAATCCCCAAAGAAGCCCTGGAAGCGCAGAAGGGAGCGAGCCATATGGGGCAGGTTGCAATTGTTCCTTCAGGTCTGGATTTATTCCACTGTGAACAGATGGACAATGGCTGACATCCGCTAATGGTTCTTGATGGTTTCTTCTGCTGTTCGTCTCTCTTTTTTTTCTCTTCAGCCAGAACACAGACCATCCTGGAGATGGTTTGGTAACTTCTTCTGACTAGATGGAAAATAATATGTCTCGTTTCACAACAACCAGAACATGCAGAGGATTTAATTCCACCCTGGTTCTTATGTTTTTAGCACTTTTATGAAGAGGATGAGAACAAGAAGAAAATCACTTAGTCACTTAATACAGATAACATCAGAAGAGAGAGGGTTTTTTTTGTGTTCACTGGCTTGAAGGGAATGTATTCTTCCATTCATGCAGCTCACTACAAGATTTTTCACTTCATATTTCCAGCATACAGCTAGTAGAGCTGTTCCAATCTAAGAAAGGAGCAATACACATTTGGCATTTCAAAAATGACTTTGAAGGCGTGACACAGCTGAACTTCTTGTTCATTAAGTGGAACTTAAATCTACTACTTTCATCCTTCACCTTCTTTCTAATAGTAGATGAAGGTCCTCTATTTTATTTCATGCTTGCAATGACCGCAATTTCTTAAAGATGAGGTGGTTCTCTTTAGTCGATTATTCTTTTTTTCCCATTTTCCCCTCAAAACCTGCTGAAGATTTTTCTCCAAAATGACTTTCACATGAACCAGAAAGCATTAACTTCTTGAAGTGGGAAGTTGCACACAGGGGAAGTTATAACTAAAAATAAAAGAAACTGTAATTGAAATACGCAATTGCAAAATCAAATTAGGCTGATCTTTGTGTGTGTTATATAAACAAATGCTTCTCAGTATCTAAATGAAAGAATTAAGGAAATATTTTAATCCAAACAAAGTTTTCTTTACAGATTTTAAATAAATTGTATTGACTTAGTTTGATTATACATTTAAACAATCTATTTTAGGATAAAGGTCAAATGTTGGGCCCACTTTATCCGACCATTCTTTTCTTCTGACATAAATCTCTCCTAGGATCTCATAATAGCATCTGCAAGATTTACTGTTGACAAAAGTTAAAATATTCCATTGAAACATAATCTTGCATTTTGATTAAAAATGCATAAAGGTTTTAAATTTATGGCTTTAAAAACTGTTACAATGAATGACGTCTGTTTGATAACAAAGCAAAATCACGCATGAAAGAACCAGCACACACGGCTGTGACAAACCAAAGAAAATCTGTAAGCACACAATAGCAGTATCTTTGTGTAAGAAAATTGTCAAACCTCGCTACACACTTCAGAAAACATTCAACATGTATCTTGGCTCATTGCTTAGGGGGTCAAACAGTAAAACTTCCTCTTTCAGTATCTTCAAATAAAGTAAGTCATCTTCACTTCAGTAAAGTCACATCTGCTAAAGATGGTGAACCCTGATGCTCTGAATTTGTGAAAGCCCAAGGTCATGCCCTTATGATTGCCCATTCCAAAGGGAATAAAACTTGTACTTAAATTATACATGTGGCTGTTAACAGATACACTTAAAACAATGTATTTGCTCTGCAGCACATGTGCTCCTCCAGCTGACTCATACGAAGCCAAGAAACAGTTTAGGGGCTTTGAAAAACGCCATAATTCTTAGTGCAGGGCACAGAAGACACTCAGCTGTGTTACGCTGCTGTTGAAAAAAAGAGATTGCAGTAACAGCAGTGCCCAAATGCAGTAAGAGGACGGGGATTGTTAGGCTTTGTGAAGGATGTATTGTAGCTCTGTGAGCCATGGTGTAAAAGTTGTGAAGATGACTGAAGGTGAGGTGATCCAGAGGTGAGCTGCTGGAAGAAAGCAGGAAGCAAAACGGCTGGGGGCAACTGGAGGCTTGGCTGGAGTCAGCTCTTCTGCTGCTGGATTTTCTCATGTCCAGTCCAAAACTAGGCCACTGGCAGCCATGCAAGGGAGGAGGGCTGAATTTGGGGGAAAATGAGCTGCATTTTCTGAAGCAGAAAGAGCACTGGACGGAAAACTTCTATTTCGCTTGAGTTATTTCCATCATGAGAGTCTGCACAGTTTACTCTGTAGAGCTGGTGCCTTGTGGCAGCTGTCGAGCAGGGTGCAGAGACCTTCTGGCTGGGGAGATGGGGTCAGATAACCTCTTTCTTCAGCAGGTGCAACTGGGCTTGCTGCTGCTGGAGGGAACACTGTTGGTCCAGTCAGCATCAGCTGAGGATCCAGCCCGTGATATTCTCCCAGGAGGCATGAACTTGTGATGGGTGTGCCAGGAGGGGCCTGAGTCCCGTGTTACCTACAGTGTGTATTCATTAGGTCTGTGTACAATCAGAAAGGAAAAAGAGCAAGCATATGAATCCCTTCACGAAGTAGCGTGGAGAATACCAAACTGCAGTATTAATAACCTCCTGTTATTGAATCCTCCATCTGTTCATCATGCCAACTTATCCTCACTTAGAGCACTCCCCTTGTCATAATATTTTGCGCCACACTCCCCTCCCTCCCCGAAGCAGCAGTTCCAGTTTAGATCTAAACATTTGCCCAGTCATGTAACCCCACCGAGGACATGGTCTCAGTGCCTGGATCAGTTTATGACTCTCTATTAAAAAATGCAACTGAATTCTTAATTTCTTTTTTGATTTTTTCCCTTTTCCTCTAGTATTTTTTTTTCTGGAGATTTTCATATCCATATTGGTATTCACAGATATTTCTCTTGTGGTTTAAGTGTGTTTGACCCCCTTAATGCTCATTCCTGATACTTTGCCACATGGCAACTGAAGCAGTGAGGGAGAGAAAAATAATTATCTTCTCCTTAGAGCTTTGATATGTATGTGTTTTTATATTTTGCTAACATCTATAAATGGCAATAAAGTGGTTAGCCACTTTAAAGTGATTAAACCCAAATTTATTTATACAAACCCCACATGAGGCGCTTGGCTACATGCTGCCCTAGTGATGCACAGTGAGAATTTAGGGAAACTGTTCTTTGAGGGATGTCTGAGCTGTCTGTGCTAAGCCATAAAAGGCTTTCCCAGGAATACAGGAGGAAAATGAAGATAAGTCAGAGGCTGCATAAACTTGTCCTGGGAGTTACCTCCCAGTCCCGGTGGATAATCCCATGAAAGGGACACACTACCTGGGAAATGATGCGGGAAAACAAGTTATTAGGGAGCTGAAGCCAAGCTGCTGGAGGCTGTCTGTATGCTAAAATCCTTGAGTTGTGCCCTGAACGGATTCCTGAAATTCACACCACTCGGAGGCTGAAACCACCCTTCATAACCTCTGGGTTCAAATATTCCCCTCACAGGCAAACCAACTCCCAAAAACCCCGGGGAAAAATCTACAGCCCCAGTGAATTGCTTTTGGAGTGTCTGTCTTTATCCGAGAGGGTCCGGGTCCCTGAGGGACGCCGGGGCCGTTTGCTGACAGGAAACGATTGTTTTATTTCTGGAAAATCCCAGAGAAGGGATGTTCGCTGCCGGGCTGGGCTGGGCTGTGGGTGGGGACGGATGAGCGAACGGCAGCGGCTCCGCTTCCCGCCCGTAGCTGGGAAGGAGGAAGGGACAGCTGTGCTAATAGAAAGTTTCTGGGAGGGCTGGAGCGGAGCTCCGGGCGCTGAGGAGAGAAAAGCCGCGGGGCAGGAGACGGCGGGGCCATGGCGGCCGCCGCTCCCTCACCGCGCCCGGGCGGGGCCGCCGTCAGCCGACCCAGCGGCCGCGGGGGCGCCGCCGCCACTTTGGTTCGCGTCGGCCGCCGCCGCCGCTGTTCGGGCGGGGAGGGCATGGCGGGCACGGGGTGACCCCGAGGGACCGCGGCCGCGTGGGCGCGACGGGCGCGTTCCCGTGGGGAGAAATCGGCCTTGGATTCATGGACTTCGGGCAATTCGCTGCTCTTTTTCTAAGAGCTTCGCTCGCGGCCCTGCGGAGACCGCGGGGTTCGTTCTGGGGCTCTTCAGGGCGGCTGCAGAAGGCACTGACCCTCACCGACGGCAAAATTAGAGCGTTATGGCTTTATTTGTTTTAATTCCTGTTAGTTCGTGAGGGAAAAGCTATAGCCGAATCACAAATACAGCAAGACACCAGAAGTGCTTATGTTTTGGGATGCCAGGAACGGGCAGAAAGTGATGGGCAGGAAGTTCCACCTGAACTTGAGGAGGAACTTCTTTCCTGTGCAGTGACTGCACACTCTGCATCGTCCGGAGAGGGTGCGGAGTCTCCCGCCCTGGAGATGTGCCAGACCCGTCTGGATGTAATCCTGAGCCATGCGTTCTGGAAAAACCTTGTTTGAGCAGGGAGGTTGGACTCGATGACCCGCTGTGGTCCCTCCCAAAATGACCCATGCCGTGACTCTTGAGAGTGCAGCCGGCGTTAACTTTGCCGAAGTTTGAACAAAACAAAACAAAACAAAACAAAGCCGTGGCGACATCGCGTCCCAGGGCAGGTCCCGGTTTCCCTGCGCGCGGCCGAGCCAGGCTCGCCCGCCCCGCTCTGTCGTTCGTCTCGGCGCCCGCCTAGAACCAGGAGATCGAGCCTGGGGGGCGCGGCGGCGGCGGCGGCGGCCGCTCCCCCCACGCCCCCCCCTCCGCCCCACCCCACCCCGCCCCTCCCTCCCGCGGGGGCGGGCGGGCGCGCGTGCGCGCGGCGGCGGCGGGGACGCGCCCGGCGGCGGGGGCGCGCACCGAGGCGCCGCTCAGTTCAGGGGCGCCCACGGAGCGGCCGCCATATGCCGCGGCTGCCGCGGCGGCTCCGAGCGGCGCTGCCCCCCGGCATCCTCCTCGTCCTCAGCCTCCTCCTCCTCCTCCCCGCGGCGGGCGCGGACGGAGCGCGGCGCCTCCATGGGAAGTTCGCACCTCCTGAACAAGGGCTTGCCTCTAGGTAAGCACCCGGCCTGCTCGCCGCGGTGCGAGGCGGAGGGAGGGGGGCACACACGAGCGGCCGCCGCGCTTTGTGTGCCCGTCAGCGCCGCTCCGGGCCCCGCCGCGGGCAGCGCCGCTGCCCTGCCGGCCGCAGCGCCGGCGCAACTTTGCCCGGTGGCTGCTTTTTCAGCTTGGGTGAGAACATAAAGGGAAATAAAAAACGAGAGGCGGAGGGCCGGGGGGTGCGAGCAGTCCCGAAGTACCAAACTCAAAGGGCGCTGAAGCTGCGCCCGGGAGGGCTTTGGGGTGTTCGGTCCCCCCGGGAGGGCTTTGGGGTGTTCGGTCCCCCGGGGGAGCTTTGGGGTGTTTGGGGTGTTGGGGGCCCCGCTCTCGCTCGTGGGCTGAGCGGTGCCGGCTCCGAGCTGCGGGAAGCTGGGCCGGTGTTTGGGTAAACAGGAAGTTTAAAAGCGGCGTTTTATTGCTGTAAAAAAGTGCTCAAGGCCTGGCTGGTGGGATGGTTTCGGCAGAGCTGCGGACGGGTTGTGTGTCAGAGGTAAGCCTCTTCACCCTAAATTTCAATTTCTCTGTTTCTGTCTTTCACTACTTTTTTTTTTTTTTTTTTTTTAAAGCATGCGTTTATGCTGTTGTTTTTAGGGTAACATGAATAATATGCACAGGGTGATGCCTCCAGAATTGCCGGGCATAAATTGTCATGTTAATTTGAAGGTGATTTTTTTTTTTTCCCCTGCCCCCAGCCATAAGGAGACAGAATGTTGATTCTGTTTATAAACGTTATCATTTTGTAAGCAAATGTTACCAAAAGAAGGCTACAAAGCATAGAATAAGCCTGTTTACAGTGTAGCTATGAGTCAGACTGCTATGCTGCTTTGTTTTCCTCTAAAAATTTAATTCAAAAGTCAGGATTTAAGTCATAGAACCGAGCTGGAGAGAATAATGGTAGAAAATATTGTTAGTAGTGCTGGTTTTTAAAATTTCACCTGTTGTAACTTAAATTGAACAATTTCACAATGCCTTATATTTTAGTAAGTGTTGTCCTTATCAGGAAGAATGTTTGTTTTTAGGCCACGTTGGAGCAGCTAAAGATAATCATCCCTTTAGCCTCATTGAAAATAATGAGGCCTAATAAACTGAAGTGAGTGTGTACTTTCTTTTCCAGTGAATTAAAATAAATTGTCATATTTGTGTTTTAAGAGCATGGCACCGATTCCTCCTCTAGGGTCTTAAAAGATGTAAATATTCTTATTTAGTATTCGAGCCCCTTGGCAAGTAGCCTGATGCCCTTATTAAAATATTTTAAATCTCATTATTCTGTCCTACTAGGATGGGAACAAGAAAATACTAAGAAAAATAAAACATTCTTTAGTAATTCCTAGTTGAGGTTGCACTAAATAATACTTTGAAAATCTGTTTCTTTTATAAATAAAAAGGGTTAAACAGCTGAGGATAAATTAGACTGCTAGCAGAAAGATAATTGTCCAGTGCATCTCTTTGTTCTGTGCTCTTATCTGTTTTATCTATTTTTAGCTGTGCGTTGGTGAAGCAGGCATGTAAAATTAGCAGCTCAAACTTCTAACTTTAGTGTCTTTTATAATGTTGCTCTTTATTGACCCCCAAAGGCAGCAAGATTTCAATATTGGAATTCCTTAATGTTTGACAGCATCCTCTTCAGTTTATTATTATGTCAGCCATCCCTAGAGTGAGATAGTGACAAAATATTTTGCCCATTGGCAACTCACTGGTGTATCTCAAACCAAAAGGAAACAAACAACCCTTTGCCCCCAACCTGCCTCTTTTCCAGCCTGAACAAGAAATGGGTGTTTGTGAAGTGGCTGCAATTCATAAACAGAGAGAAAGTGGGAGAGTTAAATTGTTCCCTCATTTTTGTCATTGTTAAAATAGAATAATGCTTGGGACATGAATTTAGCTTCTCTGTGTTTGATGGCATTGAGGGTGTAAACTGCAGAGTCAGTGTGTTCTCTGTCCTTCTGTAAACATGCACCCCCATACCCACCCTACCCCACCCCCCCCCCCAAAAAAAAAAAAAACAACAAAAACACAGATTCAGTGTTTCTCCATCAGGGAGTGTGTTATTTCATTACTGAACTGACAAATAAAACAGTGATTATCCTGAGAACTGCTGTAGTCATGCTCAGTAGAAGAGTTTAGTCAATGAAACTGCTATTTTGAAATGAAACTACTCCAGTCACCTTTGTGAATTTTGCAGTTGAGTGTTGCCATATGTAGTTAAGGAATAGCTGGAGCATGCAGCTTCCGAGCACACTGCGTGCAGAAAGCTCCTCATCGTAAATATTATATATGCTGTGATACTTTGTCATCCTGTGGAGTTCTGATAGCATGATAAAACAAATTGCAGGTGCCCTTACGCTTGTCAGTTTGGCTACCTCTTGACTTGTCCTTCTGAATCATAAAGATAAAATAGTGTCTGCCCTTTGTTAGAAACGTGTGATCCTTCAATTTATTAATCTCTCCGTTTCGGAGAGCTGTTGTTTTATTCGCAGTGTAAACAGAGTGGGTTGCAGCTCTTAGCCAAAAGTGTGATCCGAGAGATTAGGATTGGGCTGCACACTGTGAAGTGCTGTCATACAGATACAGCAGTGCACTTGACAGCGTTTTGAAACATAAAGTCAATCCCTCTTATAAAATAAGAACATCTACTGCAGATGACTGACTAGGCTGGGTCATCCCTTTTAGGGAAAAAACGGACATTCTCACAAAGTACCTTGTTTTGTGTGAATGCTGTAAATATGAAAAAACAAAGTTTAAAAGCTTCTTTTATCAGAAGACAGTTTGAGCAGTAGTGAATATGTAGAAAGGCACAGATTTTAATGTCTTTTTAAGTAAAGATGCTGAGAAGCAACGTGATCTTTAATTGTCTGACATGACATACAGTGGTATTTCACATAAGTGAATTAAAACTTGAAACTGTGCTGATGTTTTGGGCTAAAAGTTTTTGTTGTCATTTTGTTTTGACTTACATACCGTGCATTTGTAATAACAGTATTTCTTGAAACTTATCTGGAGCACTTGGCTGCTCGTGTGTGAGACCTGCCTTTAAGAGTAGTAGTCAGGCTTTTGCCTCCCAAGCCAGCTGGGAACATTGATGAGGTGATACTCCAGCATGTGTCAAGCTTTCAAATCCCAGAGCAGTTGGCAGTGCAGCAGTGTAGCAGCCTCCTCTGAGGCTCCCTCACCTCCTGGCCCCATAATTATTTATTTAGTGTGAGACTAGAGATGAAGTTACGCTTTTAATACATGTCCTAAAATTTAAGGTGAGGATAAAAGTTGTAGTACAGAGCCCTTTAGCCTTAGTTCCTCAGCTGCACGTGCTTTCTCACTCCCAGACAGAGAAGCAATGGATCTACGGTTTGGGAAGACAAATTCCCAGCTGTAGTTTTGGGTCTCTTTCTCCCCTATTGCCTCAGGAGCAGAGACAATGATTCATTTAAATCCATGAATTGATCAGGAAAACATGAGTTGCAGAAAAATCTAAAATTAACATTTCCTGCTGAAACGTAGCCCTTTGCTCCCTCACCAGTATTCCTCTGGGAGAACTGGGGAAGTGCGGCAGCACTTCCAGTTGTGGTTTGGGGTTTTTGAGCTGTGATTAGGACAGGATCTTTTCCAGTGCACAGTAATCCTCAGCCCATCTCCCCAAATGATTAATGTGATCAGGAGCGTTTGGGGAATGTGGCAGCACCTGAGTGTTGGCTGACTGAAGCTGGTGTGTGGCCTCCTGTGGTGGTGCATCCCAAATTGTTCATGACACGAGAAAGGCGCTGGGATTCCCCAGATGAGACTAGTTTTTGGTGCTTTTGGGGCCCTTTGGTGTTCAGCTTTGGTTCTGTGGTTGAAGTGGGTAAAAACTTCAGCTTGTTTTTGAAGATGACCAGAGAACTGTCTGGTTCTTTGAGGAGCAGGAGACAGTCCCTGGGCTCCTCATTTGTGCCACATGGTAGCTGCAATCTGTGGCTTCTTGGGATGGGAGGATCTGGATCTGGATTCCCCAGCCCCACCCGCAGGCTCTGCCCGCTGAAAATGGCCCAGGGGTGCATGCCTGTCTTAACCCGGGCCTTTACCCCTGTGGGTGTTCCAGTAGTAATGAAATAATAATTTTTTAAAAATCACAAGGTAAAATTAAACACCAAATTTAAAAAATCGCTAAAAAAAACACCCCTTTCCTGAAGAACATCTGTGTCTTAGATGAATAGGTTAATTGTTTTTTGATGTGCAAAACAAAGTGTTTGTTTGCTATAGCAGAATGAGAAATTAATTTTTGGGGAAGATTATGAATTAGCTTGTTCTCTCTTCTGGAATATTTTTGTCACATCATTTCAAACATATCATTTTTCCTATATTATTATTCTATTTACTAATTATCCAGCTTGTTTCTAATCAGCATAATTGAAAATTGACATTGTTTGATTTTTTTTTTCTTTGAACTAAGTGTAGCTAATACAATAGTATTTTTCATGCTGGTATTTATTTTGGATGACTGTTGCTTAGCCTTGCATTTTCATCTTTTTTTTAATACCTGCCTTTTTCAAGGGGCTTTTAGAGGAGCTTCTTTGCAGTGTACCTTCCAGGGTAGTCAGCCAGAAGGGATCCTATGCAGAAAGCAGAAAAAGCTGTCCCTGGGGACTGGGGACAATTGTTCAGCTAATTCTGAAGTCGAGGTATTAATAGAAAGCTTTCATTTCTGTTGCATATGAAGCCTTTGTTGTTTAAGTATTAAAGCGCGAGGCAATGTGATTATATAATTTTGCTTTACATGAGGTATTTCAAGGCATATTCTAATAGTTCTATTTACAGGTCAGTGGATGTCCCTTATCTGTGCCTAAACCACCCTTCAGCGAGTTGTGTCACCACCAGTAAAGTTACATAAGTCTGCAGTGAAAGTTGTTCACGCTTTCTGCCTGTGTGCCAGAGCTCACCACGTTACCCCTCCTCTCCTTTTGGTCTATTTAGGGGAGCTCTGAT